ACATAAAAGCTATTTTATAGAAGTATTTATGAAAACTAATATATATATATATATATATATATATATATATATATATATATATATATATATATATATATATATATATATATATATATATATATATATATATATATATATATATATATATATATATATATATATATATATATATATATATATATATATATATATATATATATATATATATATATATATATATATATATATATATATATATATATATATATATATATAAAGGTATTTACAATTTTTTCTTAAAGAAAACAAGAAACAACGGGTGTTAACAAAGGAAATGGGGTGATATGGTGACCAACCAGGCTTGGCCCAAAACAGCAACATCATATTTTCAGCAAAAATAAAACAAAATGGAATTGAAACTCTCTCATCCTCACGAACCAGAAAAAGAAAAACGAGGCACCTTTACTCAACCTCAATATCAAACTAACTCCCTTCTCGCTTTGAAACTCACTTCTTCTCTGCTTCCGTTTGGGTTCTGTTTTGCGGTTGTGAAGCGTTGAAGAAAGTTGAGGAATAAATTGATTAGGGATTTCTGAGTTTTAGCGAAGAAGGTTCAGAGTTTTTTTTCTCTTCAAATCGATTCCATGGGTTTGAGTGGAGGTTCTGCGGAAGATGAAGTGGAAGAGTGGGATATGAGTTTCAAATTGAAGGAGGGTTTGGAAGAAATGGAGCCGAAAATGGGTACGGTTTTTGCGGGTTGTTGTTGTTGGTGATTCTGGGTTAAAGCTTGGAGTTGGTTTCGAAGCTTAAAGATGATGATGATGTCGAGTTTTTGAGGGTGAGAAAGCTTTGGGTTATAGTTTTGTTTGATTCAAAAATAAGATTGAAGTTCAGGATGTTTAATGAAGATGGAAGGAGGAAGGAGATGTTGAAGGGATGAATTTCTGAAGATGATGATGAACAGGGTTCCAGGAGAGGGCGACTAGGGTTTTACTGTCTTCCTTTTTTTATTTTGTTCAACGATATTTTTTCTCTTTTTGAAGGTCGTCCTCAATTTTTCAATCCAACCCCCTTTCATAGTATATGTCCTTTTGTGCAAGCTGTAAAGACCAATTTATGAAAGCAATCCTGAAAATCCCTTGTACAATTTCTTGTTGGTCTCTTTTGGAACCTATACCTGTTGGTGTGTTGTCTTGCGGCACTAGGATGCGTTGAGCGTGGTTGATCTTTTGCTGAAATTACGGTGATGGTTTTGTGAGGCTCTGTTAAAGAAGTGTCGTCTGTGCTTTGTCTTGTCGCAGCAAGGCCATGTTTTTGCAGGCTCCTAAAATGGGACAATATGGTTCGTCAGTTGATTCTAACCAAAAGACATCAAGCTGCCTTCTTTCCTTTGGTGTGAGTATTGATATGTCCCACATATGGGTTTCCCAATTGTGCCCTTGTGATCAACAACTTGCAATCTTCATCCATTATTATTATTATTATTATTATTATTATTATTATTATTATTATTATTATTATTATTATTATTATTATTATTATTATTATTATTATTATTATTATTATTATTATTATTATTATTATTATTATTATTATTATTATTATTATTATTGTAATAAATAAAAAATGAGCTTTATGTACTTTCTTCCTATATTTTTTGCAAATGAAAATGGGCCTTCAACTTGTCACAATGAATCTATGGACTTTTATTTTTTGAGTTTCTCATGAATTTCTATATTTTATAGAAACCTTGAAGCATAATTTTTTTCAAATTTCTTGTACTAAACATGGCCTTCAATCAATTGGGCTTGCAATGCACTCTTACCCCCCTTTATTCATTCAGACTTGATTTGATTTTTCTCGAATGCCACTCGACTCACGATTAAAACTTGAAATTCTTAAGAAAAATATGCTTGTCCATGGACACCAGTAAAAAGGTCTTGTCTATTGGATTCACAACAAGGCAATGTCACTGTTGAACTTCTAAAAATAAATTTGAGAACGATAAAAGCATTAGCATCCGAATTTGAAAAAAAAATGGAATTAAAGTGAGACAACAATGAATCTTAAATTTCCACATCCTTGCATCCTTTTCAAGAACAAATCTTGGGACGAAATAAAACCTTGAATCAAAAGTGACTCAATCTTTAAATTGACATTGAAGAACGAAGGAATCATCTAGAACTCTTGCCACTTGAATCCCAAATGAGCCACAATGATCAAGAAACTATCACTAGATCAAAGACTTGACCCATGAACTGCATTTCCCACAACTAATTCTTAATGATCTTCAATCATGAAACAATTTGAACCTAGCACAACCTAATGATCTAATCCACACACCGACGATTGCAAACATTCTTGACTCGATGAACTTCAAATGAAACTTGATTCAACTCAATCCAACCTTATGATTGAAGCAACATATATTTTTGGATTTATTTTAATGAAGCACGTGGATAAATATACATAATGAAGGTTATACAAAGGTAGGACAAATTTGGGGTATGACAGGGCTCGCTGAGAAGGAGAGTATTATGACCGGGAGACACATAGGGTGACTTGCAGTCCAGCTTCTTAAGAGGGTGGTGACACGTCCTCGACCCTTTTCGCTTTGCGGGTCTCCTTTCGAGGAGTCTCGCTTCTCTGGGTGTACTATTTCAGGTGCCCCTCCTTAATTAGGATCTCGATTACATCCTTGAGTTGGATGCAATATTTCGTGACGTGTTCATGACTCCGGTGGAATCGGCAGTATTTGGACTTGTCAACGTTGGGCTCGGGGGTGTCGGTTTCAGAAAACGGACACCATCTCTATGAAATTCTGAGTTAATACACTCAGACAAGATGCCCTCGTGGGGAGCTGTGAGTAACGTGTACTCAGTGAACCGGTCTGCTGGCCCCCTCTGCTCTCGGGGCCGGTCGTCTCTTCTTCTTTCCTCGACGAGGAACAACGGTATCCTCGTGCCTGGTGCCCCTGACGCCTTCTTGATTCCGGGTGTCGCGAGCGCAGTGGGCGGCCTCTATTTCCTCATACTGGATGTATGATTAGGCATTAAGAATGAGGGCGTTTAAGGTGTTGGGTCTTTCAATCCCAACAGCCTTGGCAAAGTCGGTGCGAGGTCGTAGTCCTCGCTCGATCAAAAATTTATTCATGTCGTTCGAGGCGGACCCTGACAGCTTCTCGGTTGAATTTCTCTATGTAATCCCGAAGAGGTTCGTCTTTTCCCTAGATGATGGCTTCCAAGAACGCTTCCGTCTTCGGATGGCGCCGAGAAGTTGTGAAGTTCCTGGAGAACTGCCTCTTCAGTTTGCCCAAGGAGGTGATGGATTCTGGCGCGAGACGTTTATACCATGTCATAGCATATTTCCTTAGAGTAGTGAGGAAAATCCTGCACTTGATGGATTCTCAGACATTTCGATAGTCGAGCATCGCGTTGATGCTTTCGATATGGTCGTCCGGGTCGGCCGTACCATCATAAGTCGCCAAGGGCGGAGGTTTTTCCATCTCGACAGGCAAGGGAGTCTCCCTGATGGCCCTGGACAGTGGTGAGCACTGGTCGTCCTCGTCGCTCTAGATATGTGATCGAGAAGGGGAAAGGTCACCCCAATCGTTTCTATTTCGTCGGGGAGAACTCCTCAGCCGACTCTTTGGCTTCTCGATGCATCCGTCAACTTTATTCCTCTTTTGAGTGGGGGAGCATCGCTTCTTCCGAGGAGGGGATTGGTCGCGCTTTTGGGTGGCCACAGGCTGAGGCCGCCCCAAGCGAGGTCGACATTCAATCTGTCAGGGAGAAGGCCTTCGAGAGTCGTCGTGCCATGTCCTCCGCGGGGCAGGAGAGAGACTGCTGGAAACGGGGCGACGATGTCTCTGTGGGGGAGAGCGTGATTGCCGCTCCTTCTCGAGCATCCCTATCCGCTCATTCTGTTGGAAGATCATCAGATTTGTCTGGTTGATCATCGTGAATATAGCCACCATGGCCGGTAGGTGGCACCGAGATTGGCTGGTAGTCCGCCAGGCTATCAAAGTGTCGGGCGGCGTTGAAGACCGCGTCTTCCGAGGAGGGAGAGGTGGTGTGCCCGTCCTTGGAGTCGCCCTCCTCGACGTGAACAGTCACATTGGGGTCATGGCCATCACCGTTGGTGAATGAAGCGAAGGCGGTTTCCGGAGCATTGTCATTGGGTGGGCTGTCCATGATCAAACAAAGATTGAATGTTGCTTTAGTTCTTGAGCTTTTATGCTTCTATAGAAGAAAGCACATGAGAGTAAAGGGTCTCCACAGTCGGCGCCGCTGATCTTACTAGATCAAAAAAGAATCAGCGGTCTGCCACGCGTCGTGAGCTCCTATGCTCATTGGTGTTGAAGAGGAGGAGGGGGTGTACCTGCAAGGTACTCCGATGCGAAAGTGATTAACGAAGTTAGAGAGAGTAAGTACATAAAAAATGTGTAGTGAATAAAATATCTGACCCTTTAGTAAAAGAGAGTATTTATAATGTGTCTCCAGCGTGGGCCAACGGTTAGTTTGTATTGGGTTGGATTGCAAGACCCGATATGAGTAACTTTTAAGGCTTACGTGGCGTAGGAAAAACCAGATGGTCTTCGCCCTGGATCAACTGCCCCGTGTTCTTTGGAAGGTGGGCTGACCAGTTCTTTCGAATGTAGGTAGTTGTTTGATGACATGTCCCCGTGTGGGGTACACGTGAAGTGCGTAGGGGAGACGTGTGAGAGCTCCCCGCGCTAGCCAGTTACCTGTCCGACAGTGGAGTGTGTCCGACAAGAGAGGAGAGTTGGACCTCGTTGGGCCTCTCCAATGTGATGTCGGGTTAGACCTACCCGACCGTGGAACAGATACTTAGATACTGACCCAATGCATAACACATATTAATGTATTATAATTAATTTCTTTAAAATTAATATTATCAATATTTTGTCTTAGTAATAAAACTTATATTATTTGTCCTTCCTCTATCTAAATGGTAATAACAGCAACAGTAACAGGCGGTGGTAGGAAAAGTGGAAGAAAATGGTGTATGCTTCGGTGTCACTCCCATTGTCGCCCCCTTTCACTCCCAAAAACACAAAGTGCTTTTCACCTTCCCATTTTTCAGTAAGTAAGCGCTCTTCTCATTCTCGTTCTTCTAACTTTTCACTTCTCATTTTCATTTTCCCTTTTCCGTTCGCAGGAATTTCCCAACAAATTGAATTTCAAACCTTCGCCAACGATTCTATCCTATTGCTTTCAGGTTCCCTTCATTTTCCATTCTTATTATTTGTTTACTTATGCTTCCAATCTTTCCTTTTTATCTCTCAATCAAATTGGACTATTTTACCGTTATATCATAGTGTTTCAATTAGGTTTGGATAAGTAATTTAAACTATTTTACAGGAAAGGTGTTTCAATTAGGTTTGGATAAGTAATTTAAACTATTTTACAGGAAAGAAATATTACGCATCCCGAATGCAGACAAAATGAGAACACTGGGACGATGTGCACTGTATCCATCACAAACAAACCCGACGAATGCAGAAATTCACCCGAGCTTTCGCAGAGAGGTCTACCTCCTCTAGTGAGTGCATTGAAAGCCTCAGCTGAACAAAATGCTGCTTCTTTTCACTTTCCTGGACATAACAGAGGTCATGCCGCACCTGTTTCGTTCACTCAACTCATTGGAATAAGACCATATGTTCATGATTTGCCCGAGCTTCCAGAACTTGATAACCTCTTTAATCCCCAAGGCCCCATATTAGAAGCACAAAAACATGCAGCCAAACTGTTTGGCTCATCACACACATGGTTTCTCGTCGGAGGTACTACTTGTGGTATACAGGCAGCAATAATGGCGACCTGTTCACCAGGGGAATATCTCATTCTTCCCAGGAATTGTCATTTATCAGCTATCTCTGCCATGGTTTTATCGGGTGCAGTACCTAAATACATTCTTCCTGACTATAAAAATGATTGGGACATCGCTGGTGGTGTCACTCCATTACAAGTAATTCAGATATTATACACTATCACATTGTGTTTACTTTCACGAAAAATTGACGATAATACAAATTGGCATGCTAGCATAGCAGGTGGTATGTTATATAATTGTCGTATTCTTAAAAAGCAGTTGGTTGGTGTTGTTTGCAGGTATTGAATGCTATTCAGGAACTAGAATTGGAAGGTAAAAAAACAGCAGCAGTTTTCATCACGTCACCTACTTATCATGGTATTTGCAGTAACTTGAGTGACATTTCCGAGTTGTGTCATTCTCGGAAAATTCCTTTGATTGTTGATGAAGCTCATGGCGCACATCTAGGATTTCATTCTGAACTGCCTAGGTCAGCCCTCCAGCAAGGTGCTGATCTAACCGTACAGTCTACCCACAAGGTTCTTTGCTCTCTTACTCAATCATCTATGCTACACATGTCAGGTAACATTATAGATAAAGATAGAATATCTAGATGTCTCCAAACTCTCCAAACCACAAGTCCTAGTTACTTGCTTTTGGCTTCCCTAGATGCTGCTAGAGCTCAACTTAGTGAAAGCCCTGATATTGTATTCAACGAAACGATTGAATTAGCAAATGAAGCAAAATGCTCATTAAAACGAATCCGTGGTATCTCAGTGCTTGAGAATTCAAGCTTCCCCAACTTTCCTGCAGTTGATCCATTGCGGCTTACTGTAGGTTTTTGGGAGCTTGGTTTATCAGGTTACAAAGCAGATGAAATCTTGTACGGGGATTTTGGAATTGTATGTGAACTCGTTGGGAGTAAGTCTATCACCTGCGCCCTTAATCTTGGAACATGTAGGGATCACGTCCAGAGGCTTTTATCGGGAATAAAGCATCTAGCTGGAACATGTTCTTCCATTCAGCAACCTAAAGACAGAGAACTTACTGATCATGCACCCTTTGATGATATAATCAGGAAAATGATCCCTAGAGATGCATTTTTTGCACGTAAAAGAAAAGTAACGGTGAAGGAGAGCATTGGTAAGGTTTCGGGTGAGCTTATATGTCCATATCCTCCAGGCATACCGGTATTGATCCCTGGCGAAGTTATTACAGAGAGAGCTGTCGATTATCTACTCCATGTAAGAAGTAAAGGTGCTGATATTAGTGGAGCATCTGATCCCTTACTCTCTTCTATAGTTGTCTGCGATGTACAGTAAGAACAGTTTGTGAGAAGCATCAACACTTCATATTAAAGGCGTGTCTAGTGTTCCACATGTACTCATGTCATACATCAACGCAACATCTGTACATTAATTACATTAGTTCACTTCTACTTTTCCAAATCATCACTAATTTTTTACGTGTAAGTGTTTGGTCTTGTGTGTGTGTGTTCGTATTCATAGCCTTGAAGTATAAACTTCTCAAATGCCCTTCTTTTGCCTGTTAATGACAAGGTCTCATAACAATTGACAAAGATTTCACACAGCTGAAGAAATTCTTAGGTATTTATTCAACTAACTTAAACTAATGCTAGGAATGGCTGTTGATGTAGGGATACATACTCTCATTTAATTGGATTGTAACGAAAGGGACATACAAAATTTGTGTGTGAAAATCTTCCAGATTCCTACACTTTAGATATGGTTCAAAATCATTTGAAAAGAAATGTCTCAAGTCATGTCACTTATGTTTAAAATGACTTCTAACCGGATAAACTTTACAAGAAATGCTTATGAAAAACTCATCTTTTCTTATGAGATTAATCATAATAAGAGTAATATAAAAGTAAATAAGATCGCAGATAGAGGACTTCAGAGATGGAAAAGAAACTAAAGATAAAGGAACATGATTATTCTATTTAGTGTAAAGTTCAAGTGTCTTGAATCCATTTATAGAGTCGAAAAGTAGTATGAGTACATGTATTATAAAAGTCACAATAATCTCCTTTAACAATAACATTTATGAGTGTCTTTTAAAGTACATACTCAGATTATTCACATATGTTTCATTTGGATGAATAAAATAAAATAATTTAATGAAGAAAAATAATATAATATGCTGGACTTTATGACGAAGATTGATTGCGACTTTGCGTATTGATCGGATTACTACTGCAAGTATAAAGTTTATTGCGTAGTTTTAAAAGATTGTCGAACCCACAAGGACTAATAATCAATCTAGAGTGATCAATTGTTGCGGTGCAAAGCCAATGCTTGATTTTTTTGCGGTAAAAGGAGCTCAATTATAACGGGATTTGAAAAAGATAAAGCAATGGGGCCAAAGAATGATCTACGTGTTCCTAAGGGACTCCGTAGATCCCGGGTGTTAACAAAGGTCTCAAAGTTATTCTGTAGGAAAAGGCAGTTTAAAGATTTGATCTCACACTCTCGGGCTATTGACCCAACCACACCTGATAACCCCAAGATTTTACTCTTGTTCGCTCGGTAGTTAAAAGGCACACTTTGAAAACTAACAAAGCCTAACTGAAATCTAAAGCGCTCTTGCTGTGTTCAGGCTCAGTGTTCGGTATTTATTATCCGACGATCACCTCAAACTCTCGCTCTATCGGACACGCCTCAGTGCTTTTCTCACTCTCGTGACAAATCTCTGTTAATCAGCCTCTCGCTCTCACGACAAGACTGCCTAAATTCAGGTTAGATACCATAATTAGAATTAGAACGATTAAGTTAAACATCAATGGTTTCTACAGAGTCCCGTCGAAGCGACGGTCCTCAATCTACGGACTCCGACGAAATTACTCGCACATATTTATCTTTAAATTTACCATACTAAACATGTTCTAAATTAAAACACACGTAATTGCAAGCAATTCAGAATTGAAAATGCAGTAAAGCAGAAATTTAAATAACCTGAGATAAACCGAAATAAAAATGACTTCAAATGAATTTCAATATTGATCCAAGTGTACAATCAGCAACAGAAATAAGAAATACAACAGTGCAACAATCACTCAGTATGAGCAATTACTGCTTTGATAAGTGAATATGTGGCTAAGTCTGAGGAATTTTCTGCAGCGCTTCCGCACGGTTTCTTGGATACAAAAACTGACTTACAAGGGTCTATATATAGAGAGGGGTGGGTTCCAGGAGGTTTAAATTCAAAAACCATCAGAACTGCCAAAACTGCTTCAGCGCTAAATGGCGACCACCGTGTGCATAATGGCGACCGCCATTTGCTTCAAACTGGGATTCCCTCCTTTTCTTGCACGGCGAGCGCCTTCCTCAGGCCATGGCGAGCGTCATTGCCCTGAGGATGCCAGAGCTTGACTTTTTGGTGGGTTTTCTTCATTGCTTAGCTCATCTTTTGATCTTTTTCTTCTATGTTACCGATATAACACCTATCAAGTAAAAACAGAAGAAAACATAAGTGATCAACAACTAAAACGATAATGACTCGAGAAAACAACGGATAAAAATGCGCAAAATGAATCAAAAAGTACGATACAAAGTCGAGTCATCAAACTCCCCACACTAAGATCTTTACTTGTCCTCAAGCAATCGACCAACATGATAAATGGAAAGTAAGCATGGTCTGACACATTGGCACAACGAAACTCTAATCATACGCGGCTGCTAGGCTAATGTTCGATTGATAGGTACTAAATAGTGAAAACAAGGATATCGTAACGACACATCTCCACATTTGCGTACAAATACTCCCTTCCTATGCAATACTAATTCAAATCATGAAATTATGACCAAACCTATATCTTTCATCCTATTTCACCTCTTTTTCATTCTCGCGCAATCACATGAAGTCCGTTATCCCTTGCACTTACATGGTAAGCGAACCTGTTTGTGTTATATGATTTCTACATTCATTTTTTTTTCTTTTTCGCACATTATATTTTCTTTTGCTTACGAATTTCAAGAGTCCGAACCTTTAGGCTAAATGGTCGGATGAAGGCCACCTAACTTAGTGGGATCATGTCTTTCATTTGTTTTCTATAAAAATCGCATTATTCAAATTTTTGAGATCAACACATATTTGCATCGGTTTGTTACTTAGTTTGTACACAAGGATGATGCTGACTGCTAGTATAAACTAATCAAGAGGATACTTCTAAGAAAATAGGCATAAGGTTTTGGCATAACGTCTATTTAAATTAATATCCACATACTTAGGGAATCTAAGGTGTAGGAACGATACCGATATTTTCAAAACTTTATCAAGTCTATCTAACACAACCTAAGCAATCTATATACTTTCAGAGTGTCGTGCCATGAGTCAAATTTTAAATTGTGGTCAAAATAGGGGAGTTAACAAACAATACGAAAAATGTAAAACAATTATTGACTCAAACGCGCATATGACTCAAAAAAGAAACAACTAAAACTAGAAAACTGGAAATGACAGAAAGTAAATAAAAGCAGTAAACGACTCCTCCCCCACACTTAAACTAGACATTGTCCTCAATGACCTAGTCTAAGGTGGAAAAAAAACGATAGAACCTGGAGAAGTCAATGGCGGCGCCCACAACCTCCACGACGGTGTCTGTCTTGTCTGATAGCTGGGTTGTCCTGTGGGACATGCTGAACACAGTCTACAATACGGTTTACCTCCCTGCACAAGCCTTCCATATCAGAGACAACGTCTCTCAAGTCCAACTCGGTTCTGCCCATAAACTCATATTGACGCCTCTGCATCTCTTGCATCATTGCGTCATGCTTGACGTCCCTCTCTCTGCTGCCTGAGCTTTGATAAGATGTCATCCAGCGATGAGCGAATACCTGCAAAATCAGAAAAATGTACAGTGTGTTCTTGGGAGCTAGACCCAGGTGTGCCAGCGATGCGTCTACGAGTACGGGGCTACTCGGAAGGCAGTCCCGTAACCTCACGATATTGTCTCTCTACGTTTTCCTCCTCTAAATTTGGCGCACCTAAATCAATCAACCAATTGGTGATTGATGCACATCGATACGCTTAGAACAAGGTAAAGAGAAACTCAGAACTCACTGGTACGTTCCATAATGTGATACTTACCACTAGGCAAACTTTTGACAAGCCGCATATGACGGCAAAAGTCAATACCGGCGTAGAGGCATGGTATACTATCGGTGGTTTCTAAATCGGCCTCTAAGTCTAAAGAGCAGGCTATAACAGTGACAATACCGCCAATGCAGATGAGACCACTAGTTCTATTCGATACACTGATATGATGGGATATGAGGAATAGTGTGGGGTTCACAGGGGTTTGGAGGAGAGCACAATGAATAAAGAATATATCTTTTGAGTTTACATTGTCGGGGTTCTCACGTCCAAAGATGATGGAAGCGAGGATACGGTGTAAGTATCAGATGGTTGGGTTGTGGATGGTAGTGGCCTTTAGGCCTTCCCATTTGGTGGTTGTGGTGTTGGTAATTTGATTCCAAAACTGAAAAGCTCCGTCCTCCCAATCACTTTCTAGAGGTGCTTGAGTAGCAGATCCCTCATTGGCGTGAAAACCAAAATATTCTGCTATCTGCTCATGAGTTAGCGGATAATCGACATTAAATAGTCTGAAATGAATGATTCCGGTGGTGCGGGAAAGGTCATGGACATACCGGAGTGAACTAAGAAATTCGTAAGTAAGCCTAACGGAAGAAGCATTAAACATGGAGCAGAAACGAGTCATACCGAGGTTCTTGAGCATCCAAGAGACGCTTTGGTAGAGACCCAAGGTGCAAAGAGCTTCCGGGTCAGGGTACCTTGTCGCATAGATATGTCGCCTGGAGATTCTGTGAAAGTTTGTGCGCATGGTGTTTTTGAGCACTCCTTCGGGGAACTCAATGCCCATGTAATTGATTTCTTGGTTAGCTTCCATTTTTTGGTTTCTAACATGGGTGGAAAATGGAAAATGGTTTGAGAGGGATGATGGAGAGTGTGAAGTTCAGTGGGGTGGTTAATGTGCAAAGGGAACATGCAAGGGTGATAAGAATGGAAAAATAAAGAGGCAAAGTGTGTTTTTTTTTAAAATTTAAAACAGTTCTGTCCCAGGGACCAAACGGCGAGTGCCGTTAGGCTTATGGTGACCGCCATTGGCCTCAAACACGGGTTTTGATTCTGGGCTTGGCAGAATGCTGTTTTATTGGCAAATTTTTGGTGTTTTCTTGTTTTCTTTTACAAACAATGAAATGCTACACTAAAAGGAATTATATAGGGCTTTAGAACACTTAAAACATAATTACTTAAAAGAAACTTGTATTGAACGAAACTG